GGATAGTTACTTTAGTTTTTCTGCTTTCCTAACCAATCAACTTTTTTTTTTTTTTTTTTTTTTTTTTTTTGACAGGCAGAGTTAGACAGTGAGAGAGAGAGAGAGAAAGAGAGAAAGGTCTTCCTTTACCGTTGGTTCACCCTCCAATGGCCGCTGCGGCCGGCGTGCCTCGCTGACCCGAATCCAGGAGCCAGGTGCTTCTCCTGGTCTCCCATGCAGGTGTAGGGCCCAAGGACTTGGGCCATCCTCCACTGCACTCCCTGGCCATAACAGAGAGAGAGACCGGAAGAAGGGCAACCAGGACAGAATCCAGCGCCCCGACCGGGACTAGAACCCAGTGTGCTGGCACCACAGGCAGAGGATTAGCCTATTGCGCCGCGGCACTGGCCCTAACCAATCAACTTTAAGATGTAATTCACATGAGAAAATGGAACCATGTTTTAAGGTTTTAAAACCCTGTTTTAAGCTGAATACTGACAAACGGTACAGCCAGGTAAGTATCACCATGGTCAGGATGTATGAGTAGGACATTTTGATCACTGCGAAAGTACCTTGTACACTTTGCAGTCAATCCTACCTAACCTCTAGTACCAGACAACCTACAGCCAGCTTTTGGTGACCACAGGTTAGCTTTGCCCGTTCTCGGATTATCAAATGCATTGGCTTCTTTCATTCAATAAAGTTTCTGACATTCACCCACATAGCTGAGTTCATCAGTCATTCATTTCTTTTCATTGGTAAGTAGGATTCCATCATCTGGATATAATACAATCTAGGGATCCATTCACATGCTGATGAACCTTGAGGTTGTTTCCAGATTTTACTGCTGTAAAAATTCCTGTACAAGTCCTTCTCTTGAGTAAATACCTAGGCATGGAATTTCCCTCTAGGTCTCACTCACAACCAGGATGATTGCAAGTTCGATGTGTATGACAGCAATGTTTTGGGTTGCACAGGAGTGCCTGTCTCTGTCCTCTGGGCAAGGAGTGACAGGAGGCTACAAATGCTAGACTCGAGGACAGCTTTACTCTCAGACAGTAGTACAAAGGACACAGAGTGAGCTTCTCCTCAGTCCTTTTTACAGTTTCTGTCAAGGTGTCCTTCAGTTTCCCCTGGGGTCAAATGCCTGCAGCACTTGCTACGTGGGGATGAAGGAAGCAGAGGGTCTGTGGACAGCCTGCTGATCCCATGGCAGACAATCGGTTAACGCCCACGGCACCCTCTTCCACATTCCTGCTTCCACATTCCTAGCTGAGTCTGATGGCTCTGGGTTCCTCTTTCTTTTGGTTGTACCCGCATCCCCTGCCTCAGCCCCCATAGATTCTGGGATGCTGCTTCCTCTCTCTGATTATCTATTTTCTAGGAATTTGTGGAACTCACATTTACTGATGGTCCATTTCCCATTGCTGTCACTTTTGCTAGGTTTGTTTAGTAGCTTGGGGTCTTGGTAAAGAAAAGAAAAATAATTAGCTTTGATGTACAGCCCTCACTGAAATTGGTGTGTCTGATTCATTGTGGTGATCTAGCACCTGCTCCCAGAACTGAAACTCTTCTATCCCATTCATCAGTGGGCACGGCTGCTCGATCCCGTACATACCTTTCTATCTTCTCTTGGCCTCTTTGTAACATGTGATACTGTTTGGACGAGCTCCTTCTTGAAATCCTCTTTATATTTCCACAACACTACCCACCCCTGATGTTTGCCCACTTTCTGGCCACTAACTTCAGTTCCACTTCCACACTTTTTTCTGCTGTTCATCTTCTCACTCTACATGTAATCTTAGGTTTTATGATCCAATATAAACTATTTTGCTTTGAAAGGCAAGGGTGGACAGAGTGCAGCGGAGTGATATCTTCAGCACACTGGCTCATCCTCAATCAAATGCCTCCAACAGCTGGGGCTGGGCTAGGCAGAAGCTAGAGCCCAGGAACTCAATCTGGGTCTCCCACATGGTGACAGGGACCCAAGTACCTGAGCCATCCCTGCCGCCTCCCAGGGTGTGCATCAGCAGAAGCTGGAATGGACAGTGGGGCCAGGAGTTGAGCCCAGGCTCTGATGCAGGATGCAGGATGCAGGTGTACCAAGTGGCAGCTTAACTGCTGCTCAACGTATTCCACTAAACCTCACACTCGGCAGTGTTTAGACAGCTCCTTCCTGAGAAGCCTTCCTTTATCCTGTCCTCACTGTCTCCACAGCACCCGATAGACTGTTCTAGAACTTCTTGCACTGCTCACTGATCTGCTTCCTCCTCCAGCCTGGAGCTACCTGAGAGCTCAGGACTCTGCTTCTTATCAACAGCAACTCCCCTAATATACAGCTGGCATTCAATAAATATTTGCTGGATTGAACTGAAATCTTGGATATGAAAAGAGGTTTTATGTTTCATACATGTTATTACTGGTAATGACAGTGAAAATTTGTACTTTGAAGAAAAAATGTGCCAGGTAAAATAAACCACAAGCTAATCTGAGAAAATCTGAATGTTTTAATTAGTGCAATATAAATTAATGATGCTGTTCATAAATCAGTGATGTACATTTTCATGCAAAAATAATATCCTCTTATTGGCAATACAGATTTCTCCCATCACAAAAGTCTAATGTTCATGTTTAGGGCAGCATTATTCATAATAATCAAAATGTAGAAGCAAACCAAGTATCAACTAATAAATGGATAAATGAAAATTGGTAAATACATAAAATGGAATTTGATTCAGTCTTTAAAATTGTGACACATGCTACAACACCAATAAACCTTATAGTAAGTGAAATAATTTATGACAAAAAGAAAAATACTGTGTGATCTCACATATATAAGGTACTAAGAGTGGTCAAATTCATAGGAATGGAATGTAGAATGATGACTGGCAGTGGCTAGGGGGAGGGAAAATGGGGAGTTACTATTTAAAGGTTCAGAGTTCAGTTGTGCAAGATGGAAAGAGTTCTAGAATGGTAGTGATAATTGCACAACCATGTAAATATACTTAATGCCACTGAACTATGCAACTAAAAATGGTTATGGTAGTAAATTTTATGTTATGTGTATTTCATCACTACTAAAATTTAGAGTCTTGGGGCTGGCACCGTGGCTCACTTGGTTAATCCTCTGCCTACAGCGCCGGCATCCCAAATGGGTGGCAGATTCTAGTCGTGGTTGCTCTTCCAGTCCAGCTCTCTGCTGTGGCCCAAGAAGGCAGTGGAGGATAGCCCAAGTGCTTGGGCCCTGCACATGCAAGGGAGACCAGGAGGAAGCACCTGGCTCCTGGCTTCGGATCGGCGCAGCGCACCGGCTATAGCAGCCATTTGGGGGGTGAACCAATGGAAGGAAGACCTTTCTCTCTTTCTCTCTCTCTCTCACTGTCTAACTCTGCCTGTCAAAATAAAAAAAAATTAGAGTCTAAAATGAAAATAAGTAAAATTATGGAGTATGGAGAGATATGGAAAATATAAGAAACACCATGAAGGATGAAAAAATAGGATTACAGAATAGCAGTAATAACAGCTGACATTAAATTAACTTTATTAGAGGCAAGATACTATGCTAAGTGCTTTACATGGATTAATCCACTCAAAATGGCTACAAGATAAGAGGGACACTTAGGAGAGATTAAGTCACTTACCAATGGTCTCACAACTAAAAGTGGCAGAAGTGGGATTCAAATCCAGGCACTGTGGTCTAGAGCCCTCTCTCTGACCACTATTTGTCTGCCTCCCAGGGTGTGGGATGAGAGGGATTCAAAGCTTTGGGATGAGACAGGTTCAAAGCTTTCCCTAAGCTTTCAAATATAACAAAAGACAAATGAAAACAAAATCAGTGACCTTTTATGTGCCAAGTGCATATGGCACGTAAGAGATTCAAATCAGATCCTAGATCTGAGGGAAGCGATGGCCTACTGGGAAAGGTAGATCTTCATTAAATAACAAAGTGAAACAAGCCATGAACAGTCTAAGAGGCAGAACAGAGGACTGAATGTCTAACTCAGAATGTCTCATGCTAACTCACCCAATTCCTGGCAAAACAAAGCATTAAATAAAAGAAAGTGAATGTACAAAAATACATTCTATTTCAGAATGTATTTTGGGGGAAAAAAGAGCAAAAGAACCAACTTTGTTTTCTTTTCAAAGAGAAGAAATTTAACAGTTTATTTCATCGACATTGAAATCACAACAAAGAGGAAACTGACTTTTTGTTAAGATTATACTTTAGATCATATTATAGGTATCACATGTTAAAATGTTTCCATATTAAAGATTCTAAGAAGCAGACAATGATTCCCTGAAATTTATTACACAAATCCACCCTGTAACTTAAGTAGTTTTATTTTCCTAAACAGAGATTGAGAGATTAAGAGACCATACAAGGACAGTGAAGTGATCTGCTCTGAACCCCAGATTCAAACAGTTTCTCTTAATATCTTTCCACTGTCCTTTAGTTCTCTTCAGACTTAAAATCCACTCTCCTCCCCACATAATCCCAAGAATGCACTTTCTAATGTGTTAATCCCCAGAACTGCAGAGACACTTAAAGTAACTGCCACTTGCTATACTTACCTCAACTGGACAAGGTAACTACTAGAGTACCTAAAATGTAATGTTTAGGAGTGAAATGGACATTCTGAGATTGGATGGTGTTTACAGTCCTTGGCTCTTCTGTTGAGGGATGGCGTTTTTTTTTTTCTTCATACTATTAGTTGAACTCCTTTGCTTAGTGTAGGTTAACTATATGATCATTAAGTAAACTAAAAATTGACCTATGTAAAAATTAAGAGTGGGAATGTGAGAGGGAAGAAGAAGAAGGATTGGAGCGTGGGCAGGAGGGGGGAGGGAGTATCGCTATGTTCCTAAATTTGTATATATGAAATACATGAAACTTGTATAACATAAATAAAATTAAAAAAAGAAAAAACAAAAAAACATATTTGCAGCTTCTATACTAACCATCAACTTTCACCTATTGTTCACTGTTCTCTTAAGAACTTCTATGTGATTATATACTATACCTTGTTCCAATATCAAGCCAGCTGCCATAATCCTTCACCAAAAAGAAAAAATGCTGTAAAATACAATGAAATATGGATCCATTAACAACAAAGGCCATTTACACTCAGTCTGAAAACTACATTATTTTAGGATTGTATATTTCACATTTCTGACCCTTCAGAACTTTAATGTGACTGGAATCAACAATATACCCTTTATGGAAACTTTTATTTGAACTAAAATGAACAGAAGTCTAAAAGCCAGCAACAGAATGACCATTCAACCAAATGAACACAAAAGTGACATTTGTGATTAACTAAAAATAAAGAATCATCAACTTTAAAAAGACACTAAATAGTACCAAAGATGTCAGTATAAAGAAGCCATATCATCTATTCATCAACAAGTATCTATTGCCTACTGATTATCACTGTATTAGGTCCTAGAGATTACCGCCCCTCCCCTCAAAGTATGTAATCTAAGCGAATGGATCAGTCCAATTATCAGCTATATGTGTGTGTATGTGTGTGTGTATGTGTGCGTGTGTGAGAGAGAGGTGCACACAGGAGAGACAGACAAACAGAATGTGTGATGAGTGTTGTCAGTGGAAAACATAGGCATTGTGGGACCAGAGAGGAAGGGGTACCTACTCCGGGCAATAAGGGAAGACTCTCCACTGAAAGATACGATCTAAGAGAAAGGCAGGAGTCAGATGAAAGAGGGGACCGGGGAGACAGAAGCATGTTCCTGGCAGAGGCAGCAGCCAATATAAACATCAAGAGTCCAGACAGAGCTTTCTAAGTTCAAAGTGAGCCTGGTGTAGAGAAAACAAGGAGGGAGAGGTGACAGATGATGCCAGTCAAGTAAGCAGAAGCTAGGTCACAAATGGCTTTGAGAGTTAAATTAAGCAAGATGATTTTTAATATAGAATTAATCAGAGAATTTCAATTCCTTTTTGCCTATTTGCCACTTAGTAAGCCAAACTAAAAGCTGATTTGTTCCAACATTACCTGTGGTCAATTTCTGAAATATATTGGCTGCACAGTTTAACACAACACAAAAATGCTCTCATCCAAATCAGGTGAGTAGGAATATGACTTGGGAAGTGACTTTAACCAGTGTCTTGAATCGTTTTGAACATTGAATGCTATACAGATATAGTGAAGAATTAACCTTACCCAAAAAGAAGCCTACTGGAAGGTAACTACTAGGCCTTTAGAATGCAGGCCTGATAGAACTGTTCTGAGTATCGGGCACAATAAAATCTAACAATGTAATTCAAAATGGGAGCTTTGGGGTTTTAGTTCTATCACTAGAAAGAATGGAGATTAAAGGTCAGCCATTTCTTTTGTTAATTTCCCATGGAAGGTACATTTCAGATACAAAGCAACATGGAAGACTAGGTAAAAAATGACATATTTGAGTAAATCAAGTAATAAGATTTTTGACACCCTAAGAAAAGCACTCAGTGCATAATATAATTTATACGTATACATTATGCTGGCACCCAGAATTCAGTATCTATGGATTTTACATAGAGCAACACATTCGCATTCCTCTTGATTGAATTAACCCATGATTAGTTTCTTGGTCTTATTTATACTGAATATTCAATAATGCCTTACCAAAGCCATAATGTCTGATATGACGAGAACAATGAGAAAAAGGCTAGGGAAAAAATAAGAAAAATTATATATAATACAACAGGTACATTTTGCAAGTACATTAAAATCCAAATGAAAATAATCAAATAACCTAATATTCTATGAGTAATTTGCTTCTGAAAATACTCTCAACAAGAATTCTTTTCATATTATCATGGCTGACTATCCCATAGTGATGGATTAGAATTAAGAAATGCTAGGGAACACTCTGAATATTTATTTCAGTGGTATGAAAGGGCTATGAATTTCTTAAACTTTCTGAGATAATTGCAGATAGATATGAAATTACAAGAAATAATACAGAGGGATCCTGTGTACTCTGCACCTAGCTTCCCTCAATGGCACTACCTTGTGAAACTATGGCACAACACCACAACCAGGATACTCACTGGTATCAAGACACAAATGTTTTCAGCATCACAAAGATCCCTCATGAAGCCCTTTCACAGCCACATCTGTTTTTCTCCTCCCCCTACCCCTGCCTAAACCCTGACAACCACTATTCTGTTCTTCATTTGTAAAATGCTGCCATTTCAAATGGAACCATTTATATAACATTGTTACTTACTGTAACCTTTTGGGATGGCTTTTTTTTTTTAACACTCAATATATCCCTCAAGATTCATGCAAAATGTTGTGTGTATCAATATTTCACTCCTTTTAATTGCTGAGTAGTACTCCATCAGATGGAAATACAATAGTTTGTTTAAGCATTCAAGAATGGAAGGAAATCACAGTTGTTTCAGTTTGTGGTTACTACAAATAAAGTTAAAAAAAAAAAAACCACCCTATAGGGGCCAGCACTGCACTGTTATGTTCAAGTTCTGGCTGTTCTACTTCTGATCCAGTTCTCTGCTAATGTGCCTGGGAAAGCAGCAGAACATGGTCCAAGTACTTGGGCCCCTGTACCACATGGGAGACCCAGAAGCTCTTGGCTCCTGGCTTCAGATCAGCCCAGCTCTGGCCATTGCAGTCATTTGGGGAATGAATCAACGAATGAAGAGCTCTGTCTCTCCCTCCTTCTCTCTAACTCTGCCTTTCAAATAAATAAAATCTTAAAAAAAACCTTTGTGTATAGTTTTCTGTGTAAATGGAAATTTCATTTCTGTAGGAAAAATACATAAGAGTGCAATTGTTGGCTCATATATCAGTTGCATGTTCAGTTTCATAAGAAACAGACTGTGCCATGATACATTCCCATCAGCAACAAATGAGAGCAATTTCTTTACATTCTCAACAGCATTTATTTGCTGATATCACTATATTTTATTTTAATAATTCTGATCAGTATGTAATACCTTAACATGTATTTCTGTAATGGCTAATGATGCTTAACATCTTTTCATTGACCTATTTGCCATGTCTATACCCTCTGCAGGCATTTTGCTCACTTTCTTATTAAACTGTTTTTTATTATAGAGTTTTGCGAGTTCTTTACATATTCTAGGTAGTACATTCGCCAAGGATCTGGTTTGTACATCTTTCATCCCAGTATGATGCCTATCTTCTCATTCTCTTAACAGAGTCATTTGCAGAGCAAAAGCATTCAATTTTGAAGAAGTCTAGCTTACCAAGTTTTCATTTATGGGTCATGGTTATGAACTCTAACTCTCTGCCTCTCCAAACCCTGAAGGTTTTCTTATTTTTACCCTAAAAGTTTATTTTTAAAATTTTTAAATTTTTTCAAATTTTTTTTTGACAGGCAGAGTGGACAGTGAGAGAGAGAGAATCAGAGAGAAAGGTCTTCCTTTGCCGTTGGTTCACCCTCCAATGGCCGTCGCAGCCGGCGTGCTGCGTCTGGCGTGCTGCAGCCGGCGCACCGTGCTGATCCGATGGCAGGAGCCAGGTGCTTCTCCTGGTCTCCCATGGGGTGCAGGGCCCAAGGACTTGGGCCATCCTCCACTGCACTCCCTGGCCACAGCAGACAGCTAGCCTGGAAGGGGGGCAACCAGGACAGAATCCGGCGCCCTGACTGGGACTAGAACCGGGTGTGCTGGCACCACAAGGCGGAGGATTAGCCTAGTGAGCCAAGGCGCTGGCCAAAAGTTTAAATATATGATTCATATTGTTAATTTTTGAAAAAGGTATGAGGCTTTATTGAAGTTTATGATTTACTTTTAAGAAATAACTTTTTTCTAAGTTTAAAATATAGAAATATAATTCAATAGTTCATATCATATCTTTGAGATGTCACACTGATCATATCTTTGAGATATATTAACATTCAAAGTAAGTCTGATATAACAGATACATAATAAAGTGTGTTAATCTGATTAAGAGGTTATAGAGAATACAATGGTCCTCAAGTACAATCTCTTACCCAAAGTATAAATTCCCCAAAAAGCAATCCTGATAAAGACATTGTCTAACACTAGTTTTGATTTTCCAGGAACAGAATCCACTTTGTTTCAGACAGATTCAATTATCACAAAGTGGTTCTGTCTTTGAATCCAAATCAGCACAATAAAAATTTCACCCATGGGTAGGTGTTCGGCACAGTGGTTAAGATGCTCACATTTCATCACCAGAGTGCCTGGTTTGAGTTACAGCTCCTCTGCTTCTAATCCAGCTGCCTGCTAATGTGCACCTGGGGAAGCAGAGATGGTGGCCAAGTACTTGGGTCCTGCCACCCAAGTGGGATACCCAGATGGAGGTCTGGGCTCCTGGCTTTGGCATGGTCCCACCCTGGCTGTTGCAGGCCTTTTGGAGTGAATAAGAGGATGGAAGATCTCTTTGTGATTTACAAATAAAGTGAAAATAAATAAATAACTTTAAAAAATTTCATGCTTTGAACCCAGTTCTTCCAGAACCACAGGAAAAGAGTAATGCAATTTAAATACAACAGACATTTAAATATCTTTTCTAAAGTTTTCCATGATTTAAATTGTTTTTGTCTTTCTAAAGCAGATGATTTTATTGCATGACACACATGATGTTCTGGAACCTTTTTGGAATAAGAAACATCTAACTAAGTTACTCATTGTCTTTTTGGCCCCAGTTCCCTTATCTACAGACTAGGCATAATAATATCTGCACTTCACAGTAACACTGGGAAAATTAAGTCGGATAACATATGTAAAAAATCTAGTGTAGTGCCTAACAAATTGTATATAAGTAAAATCACAGTTCCTTCTCATTCCTTGATAACTTTAGATGAAATTAAAGAAACATGGGGTGGTTGCTGTGGCATAGCCGACAAAGCCACCACATGGGCACTCGTTCCAGTTCTGGCTGTTCCACTTCCGGTTCAGCTCCCTGGGAAAAGCAGCAGAAGATGGTCCAAGCGCTTGGGACTCTACTATCCACATGGGAAATCTGGAAGAAGCTCCTGGCTCCTGGCTTCAGATCAGCCCCGCTCTGGCAGTTATGGCTATTTGGAGAGTGAACCAGTGGATGTAAGATATCTCTCTCTCTCTCTCTGACACTGTCTCTGTGACAGAGTGTTCACTGAGAATCAGCCTCTTTCTCCATTAGCATTTTATCTTCCTTCCTGTCTGAATGGCAGATAAGATACACAGAGTCATGATGATAAAAGCAACACCCTAAGAGTGGGAAAGCAGAAAAGCAGGGCCACCAATGGCATCACAACAGCTCTGGGCTGCCAACCTGTAGGGTCCACGTTACATGAGAGACCTAAATCCCCTTCTCTTAGCTACTAGCAGAGTTTCACTACTTGCAGCCAAAACCATTCCTAACACTTCTGTTATGTCCAGATAATCTTCTTGCTCAGATACTCCCTTCTAATGGCCTTTATCCAAAATTTTGTTGATGAAACCAATTATCAAAACTGAGAAAACAGTTTGGAAAAGTTAATTTTAAGCCATGCAGAATAAACAAACGCTAACCTACCCAGTTTTCGTACTTCACCTTTGCTCAGTATGTATTTTAAGAATGAGTCAGAAGAGGATCAGTTGTGTTCATCTCACTGGTCTGTTATGTTGAACTCACCCTTGGAATTAGGATCTAAAGAAAGAATCTGTAGTATAAACTCCACCCTTATCTTAACCCCTAGGCTTTCAAGAGCTTTAATAAAATGTTTAGTAACACAAATAATGAGACTATTTAAAAAGTGAACAGAAAAGAGAGATGAGAGTATTTAGCAAGTAGATATGGCAGTGAGGGGTGGCTGGACTTTGGCTTGTGTGAAGGAAAAAGTAAGGAAAACAGGATGAGAAGCTAGTTTTCAATAGGAAGAAAGGGAATCACTGTGTTCCAGATGTAACATACTAAATTTAAGAAGTCAATATGACATCCAAGTGTTGGAAATGTCAGTGACTTTTAAGGCCAAAAGAAAGATTAATAAAATCCCAGTTTCACGACATTTTCTTTAGTTCTCTTCCTTTGTGTTTAGTTTTTCATTGCCCTAGTCTCCAGGAAGAATCACTATATGCTCACACACACACACACACACACACACACACAAGTATATGTATAACACATACACACAAATAGTTCTTTCTTTTTTAAATTATATAAGGTGAACAAATTTCATGTATTTCATATATACAGATTTAGGAGCATAGTGATACTTCGCTTCCTCCCTCCCTGCTACCCTCCCACTTCCACTCTCCCTCCTCTTTCCCTTCTTATTCTTTCAATTCTTATAATGATATACTTTCAGTTTACTTTATAAATATAAGCTTAACCCTTCACGAAGGGTTATATAAGAAAAAAAAACACTGTTCCTCAATAGTAGAGACAAAGGCTTTAAACAATAATCAAATCTCAAAATGTCAATTTCACTCATATATATTACATTTTTTTGTACTTTATTAGTGACCCCAGATCAGGGAAAATATATGATATTTGTCTTTTTGGGGTTGGCTTATTTCACTAATTATAATGGTTTCTAGTTGTATACATTTTGTTGCAAAATACAGGAATTCATTCTTTTTTACAGCTGAGTAGTATTCCATTATCACATTTTCTTTATCCAGTCATTGGTCAATGGACATCTGGGTTGATCCCATATATTAGCTATTGTGAATTTAGCTGCACCCACATATTCTTTGATAAACCTTCTAGTTCTCATTCCACAGGTGTCCAACTCACTTTTTTCTAAAGATTTATTTATTTATTTGAGAGACAGAGTTACAGAGAGAGAGAGAGAAGCATCCATCCAAATGACTGATGACTGCAATGGCCAGAATTGAGCAAGGCTGAAGCCAGGAGCCTGGAACTCCACCTAGGTCACCCATGTGGGTGGCAAGGCCTCAAGTCCCATGTGCATTCCCAGGTGCATTAGCAAGAAGCTGGATGGGAAGTGGAGCAGCCAACTCAAACCAGCACTCATATGGGATACTGGCATCAGAAAAGGCAGCTTAACTGGCTGTGCCACAATGCAAGCCCCTCTTATTATTATTTAAAATTAAAATCTTTTTTAAAAGTTTATTTAGTAACAAAAATATACCACTCATCAGTTTCTTTTCCTAATATTTAAAAAATTTATATGAAAGGCAGAGAGAGACATACACACACACACACAGATATACATAGATCTCTCACATGCTGATTTACTCCCCAAATTCCAAGAGACAGGGTTGGGCCAGGCTGAAAACAGAAGCCCAGAACTCAATCTGGGCCTCTCATTTGGGAGGTAGGGACCCGAGTACTTGAGCTATCACCTGCTGCCTCCTAGGCTGTACATTAGGGGGAAAGTAGAATTGAAAGCAGAGACAGATTCCAACCCATAGAGGATATGGATGTCTGAATTGCTGTGCCAAATGTCTACCCCTCATCAGTTTTTTATTGCATCTAAGTAACTATCTTTTATGTGATACTGACAAAATATAAATGCTTTAATATTAAATTCATGTAAATATCCTGTAATAATATACAGTATATACATTTACTAAATAAAAATCAGAAATATGCTTTCTACTATTCTTCAGAAGAAAAACTTTTTAAGAAATTGTAACATGTATACAATAATATGCTAAACCCAGTTCTAGCCCAAACTCATCAAGAACATGCAAATTTATGCTAATATCAATTATTTCTTTCAAGCATTGAATATGTCAGCTTGATTAAAGAATAACAAAAACTGTTAAGCTTCATATTTATATCAAGTGTTTTTCACAGAGTCTCTGTGCTGCTGAAGCAATTTTGTTGGTTAAAAAAAAATCCAATGGTTGTATTGACCTCTTCTCTTCCAGTCTTAAATGCTTATTTTAGAAATGCCTCAAAAGTGCAAAAGAATACTTTCCATCTGTCAAACGTGTAGCAGTCAAGATCAAGAAACTCGGTACATTACTGACATTTTTAGAAAAGTTAATTTCAAGCCATGTACATTAAAAGTACTAACAAATTTGTCTAACACATATGTAATAAATAAGCCAAAAGTTAGGACTCTATCCCTTGTACTTTATAAGCATAGTTAAATCTAAACCAAGTAATTAACTATAATAATTTAACATTTGTGTCTTACTATTTTCTACAGAGGCTCTTCATTAGCTTGAGTAATATTCTAATAACATTTTATTGCCAAGAAAGCATTCTTTGTCTGCTAGAAGCTCTAATCAACTAATTTCCTTTAATGACAACTGAACTCTGAGTAATAGGGTGAAATACTTCTCATTTTTATAATAAATAATGTTTTAATGTCTTAATAGCAATCACATGAAATACCTTCAACTGTGTATTCTCATTTCCTAAAATTGAGCAAACTGAATGCTTCTTAAACGAATTCACCTTACCTTTTTGATGACAGCTGAGTAGTTAATTGTACTGCTTCAAAAGCACACATCACAAGCACAAAGGGGATTAGGATCTGTTTACAAGAACAACAAATGATGCCATGGGTAAAGGAACCATTGGAATACTTTTTGAAACAAGTATTTCATTTAATAGAAATATTTTCCATTTCTCAAATAACTTTAATATAAACTAGGGAAGAACAAACACTGAAACAAAAACATGACACAAAGAACAATGATGAAACAAATTTAAAAGCTTACATTAATAATATATGTAGTATTAAGAGAGAACATCAATACAAATTCCAAATAAAAGATGATCACAAATTTGAATCTGTTTAATTAATTCTAGTAATTAATGATGATGTTCAAAGGATTTTAAGTTGTGAAAGACATAGGATGTAATTATCAAGTAAATCATGTAGCCTGGTAAATTGGTTCACAGATCCTTTAACTAATTTGGTCATTTCAAACTCTAACACTATAAGCATGACTTGGTTGCTTTATCACTGCTTATCATTGTTTTATTTTAAAATGTTAAATTATTTCTGGTTATACTCATTGTAATAAATTTGAAAAAAAATAATAAATTTATACTGGCTAAAAACCCATAACAAAGCAAACACTGTTAATATTTTGAGGTCTTACTTTCCAATGACTAATTTTTAAATAATATCTAAAAAGAGGTGGGGTTGAGATATGAAAAAGAAATAAGTGTTCAAGCCTTCATAAGACTCTTTCAAGTGAAGGACATAGGAATGAAGTAAGTTCAAGTTCAGGAGAGCTCTCTGGACCCATTAGCCACAGTCATCTTTAAAGCTTTTCTGAATTATAATGGATTTTAAAGAGCTCACATTCTAATTTGATCTTTGTTTTCCTTTCTTTTATTCTTGCTTTTAATTCATGGTCAACGGTCTTTAATGAACTGAGAAAAGAATAACCACCACTTAAAAAATGTGAATGTAAATTTAGGAAATAATGTTTTAAAATAATTCAACAGAGATGGAACATGAAAAACTGTTGAACAGCTTTTTAACATACATTTGTATTAGTGCAGTAACAAAAATACATTTGTATTAGTGCAGTAACAAAAGTAGATATTAATGCTACTAACACATACCTTTAACAATTATTATTTATGTGATCTTAACATTAGGTAAATAGATTTTAGGCAGGTATTAGTCGCTGCATTTAAACAAATGTATGCTAACTACACAAAATGTGCAAGGTACTAAGGTAGAAAAAATTTGGTAGAGGGACAAACAGAAGCTTAATGACTCTAGAAAAGAACATAAACATTATTTCACCTGAGAGTTTGAACCCCAGGAAAAGTGAGAATATATCAAAATCTTTGTACTGTCAGAACCCAGCTGGTGCCCAGTACATTACTGCACACAACACTCAGTGACACATGAAGTTCAAGTCCTCAAAATAAATTTATCTTTTAATTCCATTTTTTTTTAAATTCCATTTTCTATAAACTTTTGGATTTCTTGTGTTTGTTGAAAGACTGCATTAATTCCAGGTACATGGATCATGAGAAAGGATGACAGGGAACAGGCTGGCAGTCTCATGGGTGGAGAACATGGAATCAGGGAACTCTGGGATCTGTACCAGCCCTGCAGCTTTGATCATAGCTTCCCCACAGGCTAAATCATGCCTGGTAGGATTTTCTGAGTCAAACATGGAACCCTTTACTCTTCTGAAGTAAAACAGGCTAAGTAAGTGTGAAGCAAGGGGTGTGTTTAGCACAGTGGTCAAGATGCAACTTGGGACACAAACATCCCGTATCAGAGCGCCTGGTGTAAGTCCTGGCTCTACTTTCAATCTCAGTTTCTCAGTTGTGTATCTTAGAAGGCAGGAGGTAAAAACTCAGGTGGTTGCGTCCTGCCACCAGGTGGGAGGCCCAGAATGAACTGCAGGCTCCTTGTGTTGGCCTGGCCTGGCCTCAGCTATTGCAGGTATTTGGGTAGAGAACCAGCCAAAAGATCTCTTTCTCCCTCTTACTTTCAAATAAAGTGAAAACTAACAAATAAAGAAATAATTTTTAAAAAGAATAAAGCACAAAGATTAACCCTATTTTGGAGTACAGGCTAAAAGCCTCTACCTCCAGTTTAGCAGGGGTTCCAGTATCAAAGTCTGAAAGGCATTTCCCTTCCATGACCACTTAACTGTCACAGGGACTTTCTAATTTTAATGTTATCATTATGACTTCATAATTTTGATCAACCAGTAGCTTAATGAAAATAGTAACATAGGAAAACTAACCTTCCACATCATCAGGGCTCCCATCATGAATGGACTAAACACAGTCAGAAAGCAATAGACAGAGGCAAGTTCAAAGCTAGATAATCATAACAAAAAGAAAAGGGATTTAGAATTCACACTGTAACTTTAAAAGAATGTTCTGCTGAATAAGATGCTTAAATGAATTCTCAAATCTACTTATACTAAAACAAAAGCATGTGTTGTATCAAGCAATATTATGAAGCAACTAAAGTGAATGAGGTAAACTTGTATGTACTAATATACATCAATCTCCAAACCACATAATTCAGCAAAGTACAGCAATAGACGTATACAGGTTCCAATGTATGTTATTTTTTGGTTTTATACATGCAATTTTCATTTTTTTTATTTTACTTATTTATTTTTAAAGATTTGCTTATTTATTTGAAAGGCAGAGTGACAGAAAGGCAGAGGAAGAGAGAGAGAGAGAGAGAGAGAGAGAGAATGAATGAATCTTCCTGGGGCTGGTGCTGTGGTGTAGCAGGTAAAGCTGCTGCCTACAGTGCCGGCATCCCATATGGGCACCGGTTCAAGTCCCATCTGTTCCAATTCCAATATAGCTCTCTGCTGTGGCCTGGGAAAGCAGTAGAAGATAGCCCAAGTCTTTGGGCTCCTGCATCTGCATGGGAGACCTGGATGAAGCTCCTGGCTCCTGGCTTTGGATTGGCATAGCTCTGGCCATTGCAGCCATCTGGGGAGTGAATCAGCAGATGGAAGACCTTTCTCTCTCTCTCTCTTTCTCTCTCTCTGCCTCTGTCTCTCTGTAACTCTGCCGACAAATAAATCTTTAAAATTGAAACAAAGAGGGAGAGATCTTCCACCTTTCCATCTTCTGGTTCACTCCTCAAATGGCTGCAATGGCCAGGGCTGGGCCAGCCTGAAGCCAGGAGCCAGGAGCCAGGAGCCAGGAGCTTCTTCTGGGTCTCCCAAATGGCTAGGAGGGGCCAAGTACTTAGGCCATCTTCCGCTGCCTTCCCAGGCACATTAGTAGGGAGTCGGATGGGAAGCGGAACAGCTAGGATTTGAACTGGGTACCCATATGGGCTGCCATCCTGCAGATTTACACACTACACTACAGCGCTGACTCCGTAATTTTCATTTAAAATTACCTATTAATAGAAGCTATATTTCCAGTTCCAAAAAATGCTGTCACTAAGAAGAAAACCTATGTAAAGTTAAGGAAATGTAAAAAGTCAGGATTAATACAAATTTCTTTTTTACCATGAGGATAAGTTACTTTTTTTTTTACTTAGATAATCATCGTGAATTGTTTCAAATGAACATTCCATCCTATCTTCTTGTGAATGCATTTTCAAAGAACCAGACTAATGAGGCAATGTGCTAAGAACTATGAGGCCCGAGAGGTCAACCTCACTTGGTCATCACTACTTCTTTGGGAAAGTTATTTTTCTCTCCCCTAATATGAGTGAGTTGGACTATATTTGTAGTTGGCTGCTAATGATTTTTCAAAAGAAGAATGCAGACCTCATACATATGAAAGACATTTCAGGGGAAAGACGATTTCAGTTCACATATGATTGCTGTGTGCCCGCTACATGTGAAACATGCTATACTCCTTGAGAGTCCCAGAAATAAAAAAGATTTCATGTTTTAAAATTTTGAACATGCTTTTTACATTTCTTAAGTTTACATTTGGCTGGCGCCGCGGCTCACTAGGCTAATTCTAGTTCTGGTTGGGGTGCCGGTTCTATCCTGGTTGCTCTTCTTCCAGTCCAGCTCTCTGCTGTGGCCCTGGAGTACAGTGGAGGATGGCCCAAGTACTTGGGCCTTGCACCTGCATGGGAGACCAGGAGAAAGCTCCTGGCTCTTGGCTTCGGATCGGTGCAGCGTGCCGGCTGTAGCAGCCATTTGGGGGGAACCAATAGAAGGAAGACCTTTCTCTCTGTCTTTCTCTCTTACTGTCTAACTCTACCTGTCAAAAAAAAAAAAAAGTTTACATTTATATTAATTTATATTAGTAGAGTAATAAAGAGTAAATATTAATCCTGTTGGTATCGAAAAACTTACTGTTAGTAAAGTATTTAAAACAGTGACTAGCCCATTGAAAAGGTTTGATAAATGTGGCTCACTTTAGTTTTATAGACACACACACAGAGACATATGACACAGAAATATTGAAGAGGAAGTAGGAATCATGACAACTTTCAATGAAAAGGTGGCATCTGAGTTGGTGAATTGGGCCTTAAATTACGCAAGTATCCATTCGTTCAACCAATTATCCAGTCAATCAACTTTTGTTGTCTAGTATAAGTCAGAGTTAGGTACTAAGAATAACTAAAACAATCTTCAAATACTCACATAGTGACTAAGATTTTGATAATATATAGAAGAACATGAGAGACATTTTAAGGCAAAGAAACATGGGGAAAATAAATAACATAATCAAAAAACAGTGAATAGGGGTGACAGAAGCTTAGTGGTTAGTTTATTGAAGGATAGAAACAGTGAAAGATGAAGTAAGAAGTTATAGATTGGTGATATATTAATAAACAGCCTTGACCTTTATTGTGGAGACAATGAAGAGTAGCAAACATGTGAATAGCCTAATCAAGAAATTCTAGCAACTGTGATATATGAATTAGGGAGACAAATAACAGGGGTCAGGAAATCCAATTAGGGAGCTATTTTAGTAGTCATCTTAGGGACACAGAACCTGAACTGCTAGAGCGTGAGAGGAAAGAGAGAATGAAGGGAAACAGCAGGACTTTAGAAGTGGACAAGAAACAAACATGACGAGTTTGGATGGTCTGGGTGGTTGAGTATGGTGATGACATGAAACGAAATGAAGACTGCCAGAGACAGTGGCTTTGGAGAGAAGTGGCAGTTGTCAGTTTGGGATATACATGTCCTGATGTACAGCAAAATGTTGGAAATGTGGCTCTTGAGGCAGGAGAAGTAGATCTCAGATTTGTTTGCACAGGGATGTCTGTCAAAGCTATAGGAGAGAATGGCATTAACTGGGCATAGTAAGAGGAACAGGCTAATGATGAAGCTTGGAGAAAAACATGCGGTTTAAGACCAAGCAAAGGAAGAGGTTTTAGTGAAGATGATACAAAAAGCTAAGAGGAGAACCTGGACTGTGTCCTGGAAATCAAGGGAAAAGAAAGAGGAAAGTCAGCATAGTCAAATTAATAGACTGGACTGAATGATCAATAAGCCCCTGCACATAGGTGAGAAAACAACTCAGAAGAGACATTAAACAAATACTGACAGAGGACTGCTATGCGGCAGGCACTGTTCTAGGCTTATGGATACAGTTAAGAAATGGGGAGGAAATAATGGTAGCAAATACAGATTATTTTGTCAAGATGTCTGATGGTAAATAGAAGGCACAAAGTGAAATTACAATTTAGGGGGATGCAGGGTTCCAGGGGAAATGTGTTCTGTTAGTACTGACTGAATGGAAAGAATCTGTGAAGTGAGAGAGAAAAAAATTGAGGACCAAGGTAAGAAGTAGAGATGAGAGAATGAAGTATTTATTTTTTGGACCTCAGAAGTCCAGGCCTTTTATCATGGTTAAGTTTAAAGGAAACACCTCTAATATTTACAAACTAATAACTGATAAGGAGTTAATATACAAAATATATACAGAACTCCTACAGATCAGTAGTAAGAAAATATCCTACTTAAAAAAATGTACAAGCAGTTTGAATAGTTATTTCTCTAAGAAGATATACAAATGGTCAACAGGTATATAAAAATTCCCTGCACCACTAAATATCAGGAAAATGAAAATCAAAACCACAATGAGATATTACTTCACACCTATTAGGATGGCTATTATCAAAAAGATGAAACTTAACAGGTGTTGGCAATAATGCAAAGAAAAGGTAACCCTTGTGCACTGTTGGTGGGAATGTAAATTGATACAGCCATTATGTAAAACAGTATGAAGGTTTGTCAAAAAATTAAAAATATAACTGTGTGATGCAGCAATCCCATTTCTAGATATAAGGAAATGCAAGCAGTATCTGGAAGAAATACCTGCACTCCCATGTTGATTGCAGCATTATTCACAAGGGTCAAAATATGTAAATAACCTCAATTTCCATTCATGGAAGAATGGAAAAAGGAAGTAACTACATATACAATGGAGTACTATTCAGCCATAATAAAGAAGGGGATCCTGCAACAGGGATGAACCTGGAGAACATGATGCTGAGTAAAATAAGCAAGTCCACCAAGACAAATACTATATGATCTCATTTAAATGTGGAATTTAAAATAATCTTAAAAACAGACAGTAGACTGACAGTGGTCAGGGGCTGAGATGAAGGAGAAATGGGGAGATGTTGGTCAAAGTGTAATTTAGGATAAATAAAGTTTGTGGAACACATGTACAGTATAGTGACTGCAGTGAATATACTGTATTATATACTGGAAATTTGCTAAGAGAATTAATCTTAAGTGTTCTTATCATTAAAAAAAAGACGAACAAAAAAATACTATGTTGGACAATGTAAATATTAATTAACTTGAGTGTGGTGGTCACTGTACAACGTATAAATACATCAAAACACCAGGTTGTGCCCCTTAAATATATACAACTTTACTTATCAATTATGTTTCAATAATGCTGCAAAACATTAAATTTAAAAAGGGAACAATTCCCTAGAATTTCCTGAAGCTGGTTAGTCAGCCTTCTCATGTGAGGCTTTAGGCCGGCGCCGTGGCTCACTTGGCTAATCCTCTGCCTGCGGCACCGGTACCCAGGGTTCTAGTCCCGGTTGCTCCTCTTCCAGTCCAGTTCTCTGCTGTGGTCCGAGAAGGCAGTGGAGGATGGCCCAAATGCTTGGGCCCTGCACCCACATGGGAGACCAGGAGGAAGCACCTGGCTCCTGGCTTCGGATCAGCACGGTGCGGGGGTGAACCAAGGGAAGGAAGACCTTTCTCTGTCTCTCTCTCTCTCACTGTCTAACTCTGCCTGTCGAAAAAATAAAATAAAAAATAAAAAAAAAACAAAGTGAGGCTTTACTCTGCTATACTCTGCCTTTCAAACATCTAGCTAAAAAGTTACAAAATATTGCCTCTGGTGTGATCCAAAAACCTTTGTGAGACAGATGTTGTATAACAAAAGATTAGTAGAAAAAACACATAAAAAGATACAAACTCATAGCAGAGGTTTCTTTTAGGGTGAGGGAGATTAGAGAGTTGAAAGGAAACTTTAGTTTAGCTATAATGTTATATCACAAATTTGTGCATCTTGATAAAATATTAATTGTTGATATCTTGAATGGTAGGGATACACACAGACTTGTTCACGTATTTCTTTATACTTTTCTATACTGAATTTTTTTTTTTTAAATGGGGACTACAAAGCACTGGTGCTGCGGCACAGCAGGTAAAGCCACCGCCTACAGTGCCAGCACCCCATATGGATGCTGGTTTAAGTCCCAACAGCTCCACTTCCAATCCAGCTCTCTGCTGAGGCCTGGGAAGCAGTAGAAGACGGCCCAAGTCCTTGGGTTCCTGTATCCATGTGGGATGACTAGGAGGAAGCTCCTGGATCCTGGCTTTGGATCGGTGTGGCTCCAGCTGTTGTAGCCAATTAGGGAGTGAACCAGTGGATAGAAGACTCTCTCTGCCTCTCCTTCTCTCTCTGTATAACTCTGACTTTCAAATAAAATAAATAAATCTTTTAAAAAATATAAATGGGGACTATAAGAGAAAACTGTGGTTGAAAAGGTGTTGAACGACTCTGGGTAGTACCACTATGAAGCGACAGCAGGAACACCTTCCATGTCCTCTTACTCCATTAAATGGGAGTTTGTAGCTCTTTAAAACAATTTCCATAAAAGGATACAAGGAAAAAGGCCCTACGGATGTCATCCAAGTAGAGCTGTCGAAACTGAGTTATATCCATGGTATAGGAGAACTGAATACTGGCGAGCTGGAAGATAAAGAAGGAATATATTAATGCATAATATCACTTGACCACTTCTACAGTCACAGGCAAACTTACAATGGCTGAGTTACTATGGCCAGAAACCTACTCTGTGCTGACTTAAAAAAAAAAAAACATAATAAGTCTTTATAGCTTCATTAATTTAATGAAATCTGCTGGAAGGTAAAATATGTTGCTAATACCATACTGAACAGCATTGTAGTGTTAGTTTATGTGTAATAAAAGTGAGAATTGGGCTCTTATCCTACATAAATGCCTCATTTTTAAATCTCTATATAATTCTTCCCTTTAAGTCAAGATCTTTACTCCAGGTATGGTATGACACTAAAAGGCATGGCAAAATTAACTATCCCTCTGTTCCTTTCATTTTCCATTAATTACATTTGCAGAGAAATTTTCTTTCTGGGGCCAGTGCTGTGGCATAGCAGTTTAAACGCTTCCATTCTAGTCCTGGCTGCTCCACTTCCAATCCAGCTCCCTGCTAATGTGCCTGGGAAACCAATGGAGGATGACTCAAGCTCTTGAGCCACTGTACTCATGTGGGAAACCGAATGAAGCTCCTGGCTTCCTGGCTCCCTTCAGCCGGGCCCTGCCCTGACTGTTACGGCCATTTGGGGAGTGAATCAGCGGATGGCAGACCTCTCTCCCTGTCTCTCTCTCTTTCTCCCTCTCTGTAACTCTGCCTTTCAAATAAATAAAAATAAATCTTAAAAAAAAAAAAAAACCAGAAATTTGGGGCTGGTGCTGTGGTGTGCTGGGTAAGGCCACCGCCTGCAGTGCTGGCATCCCATATGGGCACCAATTCAAGTCCCAGCTGTTCCACTTCCCATCCAGTTCTCTGCTGTGGCCCGGGAAAGCAGTACAAGATGGATCAAGTCCTTGGGTACCTGCACCCGCATGGGAGACATGGAAAAAGCTCCTGGCTCCTGGCTTCAGATGGGTGCAGCTTTGGCCATTGCGGCCATCTAGGGGGTGAACCAGAGGATGAAAGATTCTCTCTCTCCCTCTCTCTCTCTCTGCCTCGGTCTCTCGGTAACTCTTTCAAATAAATAAATAAATCTTAAAAAAAAAATTTCTTTCTACAAAAAAAGACTGAAAGCCATTCAAAAACAAGATGCCCCTGCTTATTCCTCACGCTCCCAAGAAAGGTGAATTTAAAGGAAGACTTTCCCTACTGCATCCCATGTAATTATCTAGTAAATCCTTGGGATGCTTAATACTTTTTTCTAGAAAAAAGACAGATTTGTTTGTGGTTTAAAAATGTATCTAGGAGCTGGAGTTGTGGTGTAGCAAGTAAAGCACAGCCTAAAATGCTAGTATCCCATACGGGTGCTGGTTCACGTACCGCTGCTCCACTTCTGATGCTGCTCCCTGCTGGTGGCCTGGGGAAGCAGCAGAAGACGGCCCAAGTGTCTGAGCCACCCAGCTGGAGTTGGGGAAGAAGCTCCTGGTTCCTGGTTTCGGCCTGTCTCAGGCCTGGCTGTTGTGGCCATCTGGGGAGTGAACCAGTGGATGGAAGATCTCTCTCTCTCTCTCCTTCTCACTCTGTAACTCTTTCAACTAAATAAATAAATCTTAAAAAAAAAATGGGATCTAAAAAGAGGCAAATGACCTTCAGATTGCTGAAATGTTTAATATTAAAGACAGCTTTTTTAAAAAAGACTTCTATTTTACTTACTTGAAAGAGTTACAGAGACAGGGGTGGAGAGAGAGCTTGAGATTTTCCATGTTGTGGTTCATCCCCCAAATGGCCACAACAGCCAGGGCTGGGCCAGGCTGAAGCCAGAAGCCTACAACTAATCTGGGTCTCCCACATGGGTGGCAGGGGCCCAAGCAGTTGGGCCATCTTCTACCACCTTCCCAAGCACATTAGCAGGGAGCTAGATTGGAAGTGGCGCAGCTAGTCCTCAAACCCATGCTCATATGGAATGCTGGCATTACAGGTGGCCTAACTTATTGCACCACAATGCCAGCCAATAAAGAAAGTTTTTGACCATTTATATGAATCTGATCAAAACTGATTTTCATGTATCATTTTCATATTTCAAGACTGAAAGTTAAAAGCCAGAATTATTCAATACACTTCATAAAGTTTCTTTATTAAAATTAATTACACTAAATTATCAATTACTCTGAATAACTCAACTGAAGCCAGTTAAGGATAGAACAACTATGAAGATATTTTCTGCAATTTTCATTTTACCTGACCTCAATAAAATTATAAATTCTACGACTAGCTTCTCAGAATTGCCTTCAGTTCTAAAAGAGATAAGAGACATCACCTTAACTCTCTAGCTCAGCATGACAAAGATGTCCTTAAAAATTGGTTGGCTTTTAGCCAATTTCAAATATACTGTGTTGCATAAACAGTCTAAGATTGGGTCTTAGGCCACAATCAGTAAGATGAGAGAATAAGCATTTTGGGATGAGTATGACTAGAAAGAGAACAGCAATGGGAATTTAATTGTTACTTTATGTTCTAATTCATAGACTGACATCATAACATAAAAAATTTCTGATTAAAATTAACTGAGGGAAGGAAACACTGCATGTGAAAACAGGAAAATAAGATCCAGAGCACTGTTTCCACCTATATCCCTTCCTTGTCACTGATGCTTTTTAAAATATAACTGATTCTCATGTAATCACTATGGAAGTCCATCCTACATATTGCCTATAAAACAATAAAATTTTTTTTTTTTCTGGGTGAGCATGTGGCACAGTGTTTAAGTAGCATCTGAGATACCCATATCCAATTTAAGAGTGCCTTGCTCCAGTTCCTCTCTGCTTCCAGTATAGGTTCCTGCTGATGTGCACCCTGGGAATCAGCAGATGATGGCTCAAGTACCTGAGTCCATGATACCTATGTGGAAGACCCAGACTGAGTGCTGGGCTCCTGGCTTTGGCCTGGCCTCGCCCTGGTTATTGTGGACATTTGGATATTGAACTGCTGGATGGATGATCTCTCTCTCTGCCTTTCAAAAAAAAAAAAAAAAAAAAAAACTTTCTCTGATAAGTGAAAATTTCCACATAAATTAACTCAATTATTAATGCCAAGATTTCTTAAACCTTCAGATTTAAAAGTAGAAAGAACTATTTTGTGAAATAACATTGTAACTTCCTTATAGCATAGAAATTATTTTAACAGTCAGATAAATGCAACAATGACTTTGACGAGCTACCTTCTTTTTACATGAAATACCAGATTGTTGTAGGGTTTCTTGTTCCATGTGTATCCAGACAAACATCAAACATGACAACACTAATGGAAAGAGAGCTTCATACCTAAGGGTTTGGGAGTTGGAGTGGAGGGAAGGGTAATGAAAAGAAAAAAAAATGAATAAATAAAAATGAAAACTTATACTGATGTTTCTCTTTAAAATGTCTTTGAGAATACTTCTTAGCCATAATATCACAAATTTTAAATTTTCTATGCTTTCTAGAAGAAGAAAGTAGGAAAGGAAAAGTAACATTTAACTTCCTACTCCAACACTGACTTATTAAATCTTGAGATAATTATGTGTTTTAATAGTAGAGATAGTTAAAATCATTCATAAGGTATATGACAGATACAGTAAAAGAGAAATAAAAAATTAAGTAAAAAAAATTCCTGAGGTAAAACTATTAATACTCGAAGAAAAGCCAGATTAACATCCCCCATTTTCTAATAAATGAGTACAAAACAGGAACACAATCTCAAAAGAAAACAAAAGGGCCAATAAACACATAAAAAGTTTGATCTTAAAACAACAGTAAGCTACTACATTCACTTACTGCATTTGCCAATACTTAGAAACAATAATGCTGACGAGAGTACCGAGAGAAAAAGGAACTCTGAAACACTAGCTAGGAGTATATACCTTCTGGAAAGTTATTTAATGTTGTATAAGAAGAATGTCAAATATACTCATATACTATAGTATAATGGTGCCATTTCTTGGAATTTAACTTGACAAAATAATCAGATATATGCATTATGATTATTAAATCTGTTTGTTGTTTACAGAAGTAAAACCAATAAAGAACCTATACTTCCACAAGGGAGTGACTGAATAAGGCACGGTACATCTGTAGGCTGGAGCATAACATAGGATCTCCCACAGATGATAAAACAAAAACACTGGTGACCAGGCAGATAAACATTTCGGTTCAAGAAAGCATCTACAAAAACATACTGTTGCTATGGTGTAACTGCATTTGACCTAACCACTGTGAAAATTCATTCCGCTGTAATGTTTTCACAATATTTAAAGCAGAAGCACGTCAGTTAGGATTTCCTTCTGCATAAGGTTTTTCTGTAGTGTAATGTCTTAGTCATAGTCTACCATCAAGTATTTTAGGAGTATCTTTAATGTTTGGATAGTACATTAGCAGCCTGCGACAATTACATCCTGAGTTCTCAAGCAGAGGCAGTGTATTGCAAGGACCTCCTTTGCTGCCAGTTACCACAGGCTGTTTTAAGTTAGCTAAAAAACCTGAATAGCAACACTGAATACTGTAGAAACGCACTTTGCTCAATAATACTTGAGTTGTTGCAATATTTGATCATCCATTTGGTTGTTACAGAAAAATTCTTAACTGTAATTGATGGTTGTTGCCGTAATAGTATATTGCCTGTATTTCTACCTCTAGTCATGGGCTTTATGGGCTAGATTTTAATATCCTTGAGCCTGGGCAAGTGCACAGTCTTTTTAAAAGAAACATGGTTTACTTGCACAAAACTGATCAGTTTTGAGAGATCGTTAATGTCCCTGAAGTGGTTTTTGTGGGTGTGAAACAAATGGTGAGGATTCGAATTGGTCCCTCTTATTATAGTATTGAAATTAAGTCTACTTAATTTATCAAGTCATGTTCATGCCCTGATTTTATATACTTGTATCTATCAATAAACATTGTGATACTTGAAAAAAAAGAAAGCATCTACAAATCACTTGGTGCATGAAATTTAGAAAATTTAAGGATATGAATAGATACTATGAACATGAAACACAAACAAAGGAGAAATGCCCATGAGCTAACACAGCCTTTCCTCAACGGGCTCTGCCCTGGTTTGGGATAAATGCTTCACCTTTGTGATCCCGAAGTGCTCTATTACAGTATTTATACTTTTTAAATTACATGCTTACTTGTGTGCATCACCTACCAGCTTATAAACTGTTTGCAAACAGAGTCTGTGGATCTCGTCATGCCTGCAGATCCAACTCACAAGAAGTAGAATTTGCTGAATACTCATACTGACTCGATCAGAAGTTATATAACATAACAAAATAAAACCTTATTTCCCTTTTAAGTTGTTCAATTTTTAAACTCTATGATATATAGCACAACTTCCTAGATATAAGAAAATAGGAAGAAGCAGAATGTTTTAAATTCTACCACAGATCATAAAAACCGAAATGTTGGTGCCTAGGCTGAAAGAAACATTTGGGTTCAAAAAAGCATGCATAAATCGCTTGGTATATGAGATTTAAAAAATCCAAGAATATGAATAGATACTATGTATATGAGAAAATACCACTAGTAAACAAGAGAGAAAACTGTACAAAGTATTACCATTTTTGGCCCATTTTTAAAATAGCATTTGATGCACTTATTTTAAAATGAAAATACCAAATACTCTTAAGGATATGGGGTATCCTTCATAGTTTGTTGGATATATACATTGGCATTATTTTGAAGACAAATCAAAACTAAAAAATAAGTTCATTCCCAATCGTTCAGTTATACTATATTGAGAAGCAAACAAGGGGAAAAAAATCTAAACTATGTAAAGAGCTTATGCATAAAAAGATCATTCAAAATACTACTTATACTAATGAAAAGTAGAAATAAATGGTCAAAGAGGGGCCGGCGCCGCGGCTCACTAGGCTAATCCTCCGCCTAGCGGCGCCGGCACACCGGGTTCTAGTCCCGGTCGGGGCGCCGGATTCTGTCCCGGTTGCCCCTCTTCCAGGCCAGCCCTCTGCTGTGGCTAGGGAGTGCAGTGGAGGATAGCCCGTGCTTTGGCCCTTGCACCCATGGAGCCCAGGAATAGCACCTGCTCCTTGCTCCTGCCATCGGATACACGCCGTTGCGCCGGCCGCAGCGCGCTCTGCGCGGCGTCATTGGAGGGTAAACCAACGGCAAAGGAAGACCTTTCTCTCTGTCTCTCTCTCTCTCACTGTCCACTCTGCCTGTCAAAAAAAAAAAAAAAAAAAAAAAAAAAAGGTCAAAGAGGAATGGCTAAGTAAATTAATGTGCATCCATTCTGTAAAACATCAAAGGGTGGCCGGGAAGCCAAAGAGACACTTGGAAAATGCTTCTGAAATAATGTTATGTACAGAAAAAAAAAGAGAAATAAACCAGTACATGTACTATGATTCCTTCTATGTTAACAAGACAAATATAGAGCTAAGATTGGAAGAAAATATTCCAGAACATTCCAGCAAGTAAGTGATTTATCTCCCTTATATCAACTTTCCAATTAATTTTACAATGACTTGGGGAAAAAATGAAAAGAAAAACAAACTTAGAATGCTTGTAACCTAGGCTTTCTTGAAACTTCAGCTCAACTTTACATGAGCATTTAACAGCACCAATTCAATGTTCCCTTCCTCAGATGCTTTTTATAGTCATTCTTCATGTCACATAATTTACAACTGAACTCACATTAAACCGCTCCATTTTGTAATTTTCTGATGCCATAGAATAAAACATGGTCCTTCGTTACAGCAGTTTACAACTCTACTTCATGCCTTTAGAGAGGCAACTGGTCTCTCTAGACAACTGTACAATGGAAATATGAAAGAGAAAAACAGGGCCAGCATTGTGGTGTAGTAGGTTAAGCCTCTGCCTGCAGTGCCAGCAACCCATATGGGTGCCAGTTTGAGACCTGGCTGGCTCTACTTCTGATCCAGCTCCCTGCTAAGGCGTCTGGGAAAGTAGGGGAAGATAGACCAAGAGCTTTGGCCCTTGCACCCATGTGGGAGACCTGGATGAAGCTCCTAGCTCCTGGCTTTGGCCTGGCCCAGTCCTGACTGTTGTGGCTGTTTGGGGAGTAAACCACTGGATGGAAGATTTTTCTCTCTCTCCCTCCATAACTCTTTGAAGTAAGTAAAAAATAATTCTAAAAAAAAGAGAGAAACAATTGGCTGAGTCAAGATGGTATATGTGTATTTTGAGCAAAAGAGGACTATGATTTTTAAAAATATATTGGCAGTTATATATATAATCAATATTTTGTCTAAAGTTTATGTATCAGAACTAATAAACTGAAATATCAATAAAATGTTATCTTGAGCACACAAAGACCATAAAGAAACCTTACTAAGTTTGGATCTGTTGGTTTGGTCTCCACAAATTGAATAGAGCTAAAAAGACATTTAGGTTTATATTATGGTTTGCGAAGCAAAGGGATAACATAAATGAAATTTAAAAAGTGTTTAACCAATGAATGAGAACAAAGTTTTTTCAAGTATTACAATAGATTCCATTTCCATAAATACAATTAAGTGCTAATTAAAAATGACTCTTTTTATTCAATAAGTATATACATTGTTAGAATTTAGGTTTACTATTGTTGTATTTCTATAATGTAATAAAACTGCACATCTTTTAAAGATACCATGATTTTGAATATCTACTAATTTACACAGAGAATCCTAGGTTATCCAAAATAGTGATGCTGAACCATAATAGGTGGACTATGTTTTGCAGAACTGATTTAATACTGAAAACATGCACTAATTGAAGTGATTATAGACTGTGCTACTCCAAGACACCCTTTTGAAATTTTTGACAAAGCTAAATATGGTTTTATTTTTTTTTAATTTTTAATTTTTTTTTGACAGGCAGAGTTAGACAGTGAAAGAGAAAGACAGAGAGAAAGGTCTTCCTTCCATTGGTTCACCCCCCAAATGGCTGCTACGGCCGGCACGCTGCGCCGATCCAAAGCCAGGAGCCAGGTGCAGGGCCCAAGCACTTGGGCCATCCTCCACTGCCCTCCCGGGCCACAGCAGAGAGCTGGACTGGAAGAGGAGCAACCGGGATAGAACCAGCACCCCAACCGGAACTAGAACCCAGGGTGCCGGCGCCACAGGTGGAAGATTAGCCTAGTGAGCTGCAGCGCCGGCCTGCTAAATATCGTTTTAGATAGTGAATAATAAATGTAGCTCATACTCAGCATGAATATTCTGATTTTAGGCATAAACTTTTCACTTTTAAGACTTTTTTCACTCAAAATTAAACTTTTTTATCTTAATTTTTTCTTTACTTCCTTCTTTCATTCCAAATCCAGCAAAGTAGATCTATTTCTAGATATGTTTATATTTTTTATTCTATGATATACTCTTTGCATCTGTTAAATGCTTTAGAACTTGAAGTTTCAAAGAAAGGGACCTACTACTGATTTTTTAAGACTGTAGAATTTAGCACATAGTTCTGAAACTTCTCAAACATTTATTTCCTTAAGCCAACATCTGAGTTTGACCTCTTAATAAGATTTGTATGACACCCCAAAATGGTGGGCTGGAATTCAAATGATTTTATCTTCTACTTTCTTATCTAGACTATAAAAATGTACACATTAGCTTGGAAAAAAAATGTATGTGATAGCTTGAGAAAAAAGTATGCATATTTTAATTCATTTTTTTATTTTGATGAATTTTAATATCAGTTGAGCACCTCTAATCTGAAAATCTAAAAGACAAAATTCAAGACTTTGAACACAGGTACTCATAAAGTTTTAAATTCTGGAGCATTTCAAATTTTCAGATTAGATATTGGTTCAACTGATAAAACCCATGCAAATATTCCTAAATCTAAAACCTCTATTAAGATATGAAACATTTAGGGTCCCAAGCATTTCAGATAAGTGATACTCTACTTGTATAAGAAAATTACTTACTCCAAAAATAATTTTCAAAATTATTTTTTAAAGTGTGAAGGGTTAAGGTTTTATGATGTTTATCACACTTGAAAAAGAACCTGTTAACACTAGATGATTGTAGATTTTAAACTGTATTTGAAAATTCAAAAGTTCTAAATCTCATACGACACTCATCTTAGGATCTTATTAGGCAATTGGTGAAAATTTCCATCTTCTTAGCTGTGGCCACTTGTGATTAGGCAGGGAGAAGGGGAAAGACAGGATGTGTGGAGCTTTGGTAACAGAAGGAGGAACAGTGCCATCTCCTACTGGGTGGGTGGGGGGGTATATGTAAGAACTCCTGACGTCTAGATCGCCTAGGAGAAAAGGCTCTACCATGAAAGATTTTGAGAAAAGCTCTCTAATCCTGAATTAGGACAACTGAGTTTCCCAAGATCAAATGAACCTGGTGAATTCCTAGGTTTAATATAATTTGGATTAAGATTCTATATTTGGGTTAAAATCTGAACTATGAGTAGTGTTTATTCAATTTGTCTATTATATTCATTGTTTAATGTTTTAAAGTGCACATTTCTTACCCTCATAAGGATTTAAGTAAGGATGAAATAAAAATCAAAAGCAAGTGATGAATTCTTTTCTTCTAAGTCAATGAGGAGTACACGGTTCTGCCTTCACTGAATTCTAAAGAAGGCTTCAGTATTCAGATCAAATCAAGATGCTGGATTTTTTCTTTTTTTGGTAAGAAAATTTCAACCTTAAATAAAAACGGGTTCTGTAATTTCTTTGAAAACATTCTGAAAGTTCCCTGAATCAAAGGAATATGTGGACTCTAATACATGTAAGAGTAAGACTAAAAACAAAGCATCATATTCAAAGAATAAACAAATCAAACCATCACTTAAAATACTTAAAGGAAATGCAACAGAAACAAAAATTCTAAGATTCCTTCAAAATCACTCAGAATTTTCAACATTGTAGCTAAATGGAATTTTAGCAACTTCAATATATTAGCAGAAAGACACACAACATGCAATACCATAAAAGGGATAAGAAAAAGAAGAGTATATTTTATAATCAAATCATACAGTTTGCACAGTAAATATTTATAAATTATTCCTCAAGATTTATAAAACATTTTTCATTTCTAAAAGTTAAATTGTAATAGAGAAAATGTAAAGATATCACTTAAAATTTGCTACTATAAAATCCAATTTTTAAAAAGTTGATACCCTGTGCTTAGCAGCAGGTAGGTTGACATCAAGGAAAGAAGGATGCTAAACAATCGCTGGAAGAGAGCCGGAGAGCTCAGGAGGGGCACAACCAGGGAAGAGGCTGCAATAAAGCACAGCAGGTTATCTGTCGGTACAGGACGCACAAACAACGCATAGAAGCACTGCATTTATGGTGCTTTTTACTTGTGTGACCTTTAACAACATGTGGCTATATTTGCATTTTTAATTAAAGTTGTATTTCATTGTTTTAATTATATTTTGGTTTAAATAATGCAAAATTTCTCAGTTCAGGCCAGCTCATTCTAATAAAATCAACTCCTAACTGAATCTTTTTTTATCTAGTGAAATAAAATATATTACTCACGATTCAGCAACTCTTCTCTTAATTAGGCATTTATATTTTAGTTCAAAGACCCCAGAAGATGATTTTTCCTAATCCTGTCCCCCTTTAAGCTTTTTCCCTGCACTGACACTTGGAGTATGCCACTTGGAAAATTACAAATAGGAGAGAATGACCTCACCATGCGTGAGAGTTGTAGTAAGAACAATTTTAATAAGTGAAGTAATCTTTCTTTACAGAATAAGAAAAGCAACTACCTCAGTGGAGGACACAAACTCCCCCTATCTTTATTTTGGAAAGGAAATGTGCATAGCTTCCTAACACCCCAGCACTCCAGAGTGTATAGATTTGGGATGGAAATTATTTACTGATTGCTTAACTATGGGGCAAGTTTGTTAAGCCATCTGAGAAATTCACTTATCTCCAAAGAGATATTAAAGTTAAATATAATTTTGCCTATGAAACAGTCCCCAAACACACTCTGTGGCACACAGTGCTTAGTAACTATTGTTATACTAATCAACAGCTTTGTAGTTAAATGTAAAGAAAATTTAATTCAAAATCAAGTCCCTGCAAGATTTAAGACCATACAAATTATATGCCTATTAAAAATATTTATTTTATTTATTTGAAAGGCAGAGTTATGGAGAAAGATGGAGAGACGGAGAGAGAGAGATCTTCCATACCCTGGTTCACTCTCCAAATGGCCACAGCAGCCAGGGCTGGGCCAGATGGAAGCAAGGAGCGAGGAGCTTCTTCTGGTCTCCCATGTGGGTACAGGGGCCCAAGCACCTGGGCCATCATCTGCTGCTTTCCTAAGCCATTAAGGGAACTAGATCAGAAGTGGGGCAGCCAGGATTTGAACCAGTGCCCGTATGGCATGCCAATGTCACAGGCAGTGGCTTTAACAGCTATACTAAATTGCCGGCCCCTAGCCTCCTATTTTTAATATTCTTAGACAAGCAGCTTCTGACTTTCCTCAGATGTATAGTTCTGATAAGGCATCATCACTTTATACATATTTTAGCTGGAAAAACATTTCAATATTTTTTATTTTAAGTCAGTTTAAAGGAAATTGGTCTGTAAAATATAAACATTTTCTAACTTTGTTTTTATCTTTGTCTAAAGGATTGATAAGGTGCTAAAGGTTAAATAAGAATTCCCATTTTGAGACACCTAAGTTACCAACTGTTTCATAAAATATTACCCATTGGTGGGGCCGGTAATATAAATATTACCCTGTGGTGAAGCAGGTAAAGCCACCACCTGCACTGCCGGCATTCCATATGGGTGCCGGTTCAAGTCCCAGCTGTTCCACTTCCGACTTGGCTCTCTGCCATGGTCTGGGAAAGCTCCTGCACCCACATGGGAAACCCAGAAGAAGCTCCTGGCTCCTGGCTTTGGATCGGCGCAGCTCTGGCCATTGCAGCCATCTGGAGGAGAGAACCAGGGGATGGAAGGCCTCTTTCTCTCTCTCAGCCTCTGCCTCTCTGTAACTCTGCCTTTCAAATAAGTAAATAAATCTTTTTTAAAAAAATATTACCCACTAGGGACCATAACATGTTTGTAAAAACCACAATCATTGGAGATAGCCACCCATCGATGCTTGGTATAGTAGGCTAAGCCTCCGCCTGTGGTGCCAGGATCCCATATGGGTGCTGGTTCATGTCCCGGCTGCTCCTCTTCCAATCCAGCTTTCTGCTATGGCCTGGGAAAGCAGTAGAAGATGGCCCAAGAGCTTTGGCCCCTGCACTCATGTGGGAGACCCCGAAGAAGCTCTTGGCTTCAAATCAGCCCAGTTCTGGCCATTACAGCCATTTAGGGAATGAGCCAGGTGATGGAAGACCTCTTCCTCTGTCTCTCCCTCTCTCTAACTCTAGCTCTCAAATAAATAAAATATTTTTAAAAAAATTTCAGTGGAAAACATCAAAATTATTTTTAGGAAGTATAATATTGATACCTATACCTGATAAGAATGAATAGAAATTAAAAATCAGTATCTTAAATAAATATACACAAACAGCCTCCAACATCATTAAGAAAATAGTGTACTACAATCAAGTGTATCTATGGAGGTTTATACCAGGAATATAAGAATGGTTCAATATTGGAAAGTGCATTAATATTATTTACCAAATTAACAAAGATTGGGAGAACAAACTTATTATTTCCACAGATGTCAAAAAACTCTTTGATAAAATTCTACATCCATTCCTAAGAAGATGTCTGAATAAAACAAGAATGCATGTACTCTCTTTAACATGATAAATATATACTTCAATCCCAAAGCAACTGTATTTCTTAATGTAGGAAACCCGCATTTAGAGTTATTCCCACCATGGTCAGGAAATAGGTAAGGAAACATACTACCTCCACTCTCTAACATTGTCCCAGAGGGTACTAGCTAATGTAATTAAACAAAACAAAATCAAACAAAATATTTAGAAGCATAACAACAGGAAAGGGGGAAGTAATACTAACTGTATCTGTCCTGGGTAAATTCAGAAAACCAATGATAAAACCAACTCCATAAATAAAGAATTCATTAAAGTAATAGTATATAAAACAAATATGCAAATATCAATATCAATTATAATTAAATGATAACAAATTAGAAGATACAATGAATGAGAAAAAGCCCACAATAGTAAAAAATAAGAAAATACATTTAAGGGTATATTAAATGAGAACTACTCAATGCTTATATGAAGAAAAACATAACAGTAGTTTTGGAGGCATAAAAGTGAACTTGAAAAAGTGGAAGGCATCCCTTTTTCTTGATTAGAATGTATTAATATGGTTCATGATCACAATGTAAGTTTTCTCCAAACTAATATATAAATTTCAGGTCATCTCAATAAGAATTCCAGAAGCTTGTTCTAAAGTTGGAAAAGTTAATCCTAAAAGTTCAAATTTTGTTAAATATACTATAAAGTCTTTGTAACTAAAATAGTATGTTATTGGCACATGAATAGACAGATCAATGGAATAGAATAGAAAGTGCAGAAATAGTCCAGTGCATCTAATGTATGATAAAAGTGGTGTCTCACAGCACTGGGACACATAAAGCTTTTGATAACATTATTTTAGTAAAAACAATGTTCGGACCGGATAGCCATGCTGAAACTATACATGAGAGTTCCTCTAACTATATCAATTAATAAGTTCTAAATTGGTCAAGTGCTAAAATGTGGAAAAAAAAGTACAAGTACTACAAGACAACATGAGGAAAGTCTTCTATTACCTAAGTATCAAAGAAAGCTTTCTAACTATGATGAAAAATCTAGAGGCATTAAGAAAAGTATGAATGGTAATATAAAAATAAAAATCTCTTTCATGGCCAAAACACAGTAAGCCTGGTCAAATGTCAAATGACAAACCTTAAAAAAACTTTACAGCATATCATAGGTAAAAGGTTAATAACTCTCATTTATAGAAAACTATAAAAAATGGGAACCAAAGAGACAAAAATTTTAGAGAAATGTGGGGAAAAGTCAGAAATAAATAGTTCCTCAAAAGTGATATAAAAATTGTCCTTAAGCATGTGTAAAGATGTCTAACATCACTCATAAGAAAAATGTAAATTAAAAACATACTAAGATACCATTTCTCAAATATGAGACTGGCATAAATTAGAAAGCTTAAAAATAATTGATGGACATTGGCATAAATTTATTGACTGGCACAAATTCAAAGCTGTGGGTAAGGCTGTGAGGAGACAGGCACTCTAATATATTTTTGGCAGGAATGAAAAATGGCACAGCATCTCTAGAGGTGAATTTAGTCATATCTAAAAGTATTACTTGTGCATTTACCCTTTTAACCAGGATATCCAACTTCTAGAAATTTATCCTGAAATATACTCCCTGCACACAGACCACTATGGGTATAAATACGCTCTATATTGTTCATTGTAGGGTTATTTGTAACCTCAAAAAAGAAAACCCATTATCTATCTAACTATCAAAGCACAGGAAGTTGGCTAAATAAACAATGAAATATATACACAATGAAAAGTACAGAGCTGCAAAAAAAAAAAAAAAATCACAAGAATAATGATGAGCTCTTTGAATCGATATCAGGAAGTATTATTAAGTAAAAGAAGCAAACACAAAAGAAGATATATAAAATGCTCCTTTTGCACAAAAGAAATAAAAAACAAGAAAACACATTTATATCTGTCTATCACTGCAAAGAGAATGTAAGAAAGATAGACCAGGAAGCAATGAACAAGTAGTTAGCAGTAAGGGAGAACAGAGTGGAAATAACACAGGTGGCACTTCTTGGAACACACCTTTCTGTATAGTTTCTGTGTTGGAAAGCATGTGAATATTCTACATGTACAAAAGTTAAATTGAATAAAAAAGAATGGGAAATAAAAAAGATCTAAAGCAGAAAGCAAGCTGAAGTAAACCTAGTTGGTTTCAAGTGAATATCAAAATCACAATGAAAGGAATGGAGGAAGAAAGGAAGAAGGAAGAAGGAAGAAAGGGAAGGCAAAAGAAAGGAAGGTAGGGGCTGGCGCTGTGGCGTAGCAGGTAAAGCCTGCAGTGCCAGCATCCCATATGGGCGCCGGTTTTGAGTCTCGGCTGCTCCACTTCCGATCCAGCTCTCTGCCATGGCCTGGGAAAGCAGTAGAAGATAGCCCAAGTGCTTAGGCTCCTGCACCCACATGGGCGACCCAGAAGAAGCTCCTGGCTCCTGGCTTCGGATTGGTGCAGCTCTGGCCATTGCGGCCATCTGGAGGAGCGAACCAGGAG